AAGGGGGGGGGGATAAAGCGTCGATAAAGCGTCGATAGCGTCGAAAAGAGAAAAAGTACAGACATGATGCTAGGATGTGCTGGCGAGGACCATAGCGTTCTTGAGGCGTGGCCCACTGCCTCTTTCCTGGCTGGTCTGGACACCCCGGCCGGACACTGTCCGGCGGCCGCCTGGGTGGCGCGCGGCGTGCGGCGCGAAGCGTTTGGTGTCAGCTTCACGGCCGAGGCGTGGCCTCTGCTTTAGTGTTCGTGTCACGGTGACAAGACGGCCGGGCTGGGCCGGACAAGACTAGGGACGGTTATCGGATCGGCATTGTGCCTCTTTAGCATCACGGCTTTGTGCGTGGGCCCGCCGCCTCGCAATGAATGGGCCTCTGGTAAAGTGACGACTGCTAATCATGGGCGGCTGGCGGCGCTAGGACTCGCCGCTGCGCTGGTGGCTCGTGCCCCGCACCCACGTGCCAACTCCTGAAAATTGTAGACAAAAACATATGCATGAATGCGCTTTATTGAATTCTGATTTATCGAGAGTTCTCTGCATTCTTTGCAGAACAGAACCATTCGGAACGATAAAGTAGCTTTATATTCATAAGTTTGAACCAGCATATGCATATACGTAACATGTTCATTTGTCGTCTAAATTAATCTTAAATATCTTGGCATCCAAGGAGAATTAGGTACAGTTTAATGTAACTTTATTCAGTAATATAAGAAATTTGAACATTCTATATTTGTGTACAAGAGGAATGTGGGAGCCAGACCCTCGTCCTTCTAGACGGTGGTCAGTCTCCTTGGCGGGTGACCCAGTGACCGTGGCCTTGAGTTCACGAGCCTCGTTCGAGGTAGTCCGAGGCAACGACCTGTCTGTTGTTGGTCGCACAGCAGGTCCGTACGCGCACGTTGGGTGGCCTGGTAGCTAGGCGCAGGCTGCGCTGTGCTGAGCCGGTCTGCGCCGCCCTGAAAGGTAGGCCACCCATTTGACGTCTGCAAAGTGGACTTCGTGTTCTTATTCTTTCAAACAAGACGGTCTTTTGCCAAAGGATTTCATCATGGATCATCCCCAGCACCTGAGTGTATTTATGCAGTTTTAACAACAATTGCAGCCTTAACAGGGTAAGGGGGATCTTTGCTATAGCATGTTGCTTCATGTTGTAAGATTTTATCATGATTAGCAATGTTATAGGAGACCCTATTAACCCTTCAGGCTTGCTACGATCATCATTTGAAATTGACTTCAAAATTACATCATTTAGTGTGCACCTTATTGTTTTGTGTTCTTGTTTAGTGTTGTTGAATGTAAAGTATTGTAAAGAATTGAGTTAACATCACTAGCGAAAAGTGAAAAGGGCGTAAGTCCACGGACTATTCATTGGATTTACGCCCTTTTCACTTATCAGCAATGATATAATCTGTATTGTATTTTTGCTAATTTGACAGTTGTAATGGTTGTTTAAAAATTTGTATTGGCGCTGTTTGCATATCTCTGAATAAATTGAATTCGATACTAATGTGATGCACTTTATATCCCTTACCTTGTGTCCCAAATTCTTTACCGGAAAGGATCCTCAGTTTAACTGTAGTGTAAACAAGAGTTTCTAACCAAGGCGTACATACTGAAGAGAAAGTGCAGTTTAAGGGTTGAAAACTCTAACTGTAGCGTCCGAGAAACGTAGTACTTTTTCTATCGTTCAACTAGTTTAATAGAGTTCAATAGCATTTTCCTCGTGTTACGTAACTTTAGTTTAACCGAAGATCTTTTCAACCGGGTAGTAATGTTAAGGGACCTTAGAAGGAACTAAAGGCATAATTTTGTGAAAATTGGAGAGCATCTGTTTTTCCTATGAGAGTTAATATGCTAAATTTTTCGGAAATCTTTGATCGAAGGGAAGTAACCACAAATCCCACTTTTTACCGTTGGTGTACAATCAGTTTTTAAAACCCTTTCAAATAGTGAAGCCAGATTTTACCTCCCTGACAGATTCATAGAGTTATACCACTTTTTAAAGCCGCAATTTTGTCCTCAACACAGACCAGATTTTCGGTGGGTTTGTTTCCGAGTGTCAAAAAATATCCGAAACCAGATCAGAAATCTTGGGTCGATGCGATATAGGGCTATAATCACAATCTGTTGAAATGGAGATTTTATTTAAGCTTTGCACCAGGGGGTTTGTTTTGTTTTACTGAAAAGTACTTACGGTTTGCGGGATTATTTTTCTCTTCCTTTTCAAGAGCCATTTTAATTTCCATGGAAATTCTTCTTCAGAAGAAGCGGGGGTCAGATACTCAAACGACAAAATCCACAACCATGCTCACTTTGAAATTGGTATGTACAATTTATTAAACATTACAAATGTATTATTTATACACTACAGTCGCCTCTACCTTTTGTACATAAAATAGTTACTTTAAGTTGAGATTGTATTCAGTACGGACTAATTCAATTCAACAGATTTGACCGAGAAGCTTTAAATTGGGTCAACGCTTCACCCAGAGCATTTCATTTGTATTTTCAGAGAAAAACCATACAAAACTGGGTTAATATACTTACATCATAAATATTGAGCAGGTAACGTGAAAATTAATGGCATTTGTGTTTCCTACAATCAGTTATCTTCATCAATATAAAATTGCTCCAGACGTTTATGGTTCTTAACACGTGTGTAGGCAGATTGGAAGAATCAAGCTAATGGTGAAAAATCGAAGCCTTGACTTCTTCTGAGTTCTTTGTTACTCCATTGTACTATTTTAGAAACAATCTAAACAGCTACGTTACCACTTACAACATTCTATACCTCCAAGTGAAAAGTGTGGCTTAAAACCAACATCTTGAGAATTTCCACGGAATTCGAAAATATGTTGGTTTCCTCGCTTTGAACTCACAAATCAATTTTCTCAAAAATCGATCGAATACTTTTAAAAAACTCGGTTTTTCACTGGATCTAGTGTACTAACTCTATAGTGCTCCCCTGCATGAGAGAGTCCAGTCTTAATGGTTTGACAAGTCAGTCGGTCGGATGTACGTTAGTCGACATATGGCATTTCTATCCGCTAGTACCCAACTAGCATCTGGCGCGTCAGAGTCTCTCATCGCAAATAATAACTCCTGCTCGCCGAAAGTCCTGGTGACGTCTCGGTGAGGTGCTGCACTATCCGCGACCTCGGCGCCGACGCCGCCGTGGCGAACCTGATGCCGGGAGCAGCGTAGGAGGCCCGTGACGAGGTCGGGGCCGGGGGCAAGATGGCCAAGGTGTGCAGCCCCACCTGGGTGGACGATGGCGGGTAGAGGAACGACCCGGTCACCAGGTTGGAGCCGGGCACAGGGGCGGCATAGGCGGGGCGGGCAGGGGCGGGCGGCGGGCTGCGGCGATGAGCCGGCAGCAGCAGGACGTCGGAGGGGTGCGGCGGGGGGTTGGGCGGCGGCAATGGCGACAGCGGCGCGGGCCTTGGCCGCAGGTTGATGTACGCCGCCCGCGGGTTGAACACGGAGGCGCGCTCCGGGTACACATTCCTGTGAAGGAGACGGGCGTGAGCACAAGGGCAAGGTAGGCAAAGCTGGCTGTCTAAGGAAGGAGCAGCCAAAATTAGTTCAAACGAAAACGACGCTTCCTAGCAGAACTATGCCTGTTCGGGTCGAGGAGCGGGTCGTAGGCTGTCAGGCGGAGGTCCTGGTGAAAGTCCTGGCGCAGGTCCTGGCGAAGGTCCTGGCGCGTGTCCTGCTGGATGAATTGGTCCTGCTGATCATGCAAGAAGATGTTCTCGTGCGGCAGCAGGTGGTTCTCGCGGTGGTACTTCCTTCGGTGCGCCTCTTTGGCTGACAACGGCCCTTCCTCGTCCAAGAGCTGCAGGCGGGCCCCATCTGCACAAATGACATTGGTTCAATGAACAACGAACGTAATTTACTTACACCTTTACTACCCAACGGCACCTACCCTCCTCCGTGTCGATGCCCAGCTTGGCGGCGTCCAGCGCGTGATAGTTGAAGGGCAGGTTGTCCCGGACCGAGAAGCGCGGGTTCTTGAGCGCGAAGCTGGGAACCCCCACGCCGTTCTTGGCCCTGACGTTGACGGGCGAGTCCTGGTACACCTCGTGCACCTGGCTGGCCGACTGGATGCTCAACAAGGAGGGCGCTGCGACAGAAGCAGTCGTATAAGAAATGGGTATGTCTCTGGCGGCGGCGGAGGAGCGGTGGGGCGCCGTGTGGGTTGGCAAGCCCGTCACGCAGGCGTGCCGGCCCTGGTAGTGGCAGCCTACCGCGCCCCTGTGGTGAGCCGGGCCCCATCCGCCGGGGCTACCAAGTGGGTCCCATTCGTGTATTTCCGTGTACGCGCTTAGCTTTTATTTCTTGCATGTCCCTTTGCTTGTGTTTTTGACTTGTAATTGAATGTATTTCCGTGTATTGTACTTATTCTGTTTTTGTAATTATTTTTGTGCACACGATTTGAGTTGGCCTCCCCCTGGACCGTCACTATAGGCTGGTCGGCACGGTACTCACCAGGGTACTGCGTGCGGACGACGGCGTGGAAGCCGCGCTCGCCGTCCACCTCGTAGTCCACGGTGCGCACCTTGCCGTCCGGGTCGAGCAGCGAGTACTGCCCCTTGACGAAGTCGCCGTTGCGCTGCTCCCAGCGGTCGTTGACCACGCCAGACGCCCGGTCGTCCACGGCGTACTGGTACTTGTAGTGCACGGCCTGCGGGAGGGTAGAGCCCAGACGGGAGAAGGGGGGTAGGGGACGAGGGAGGGGAAGGAGCGTGATGTGCTCGGGGGAGTGGCGGAGGGGCAGGCGTGAGGGCGAGATGAACGTGAGTCGATGAAATGTCGGCGATGTGAGGGAGACAGAGACAATTAAATGCGATGAGTATGGCAGTATGAGAGAGACGGGACGGGGAAGGGAGGGGGCGCATGCGCAACGTGAATCGTTTTCATTGGAACGAATTTCATTTGAAGTCGTTCATAGAGGTGTAACGCCACCTTAAGCTTCACGGAGGGGACAAACCAATTACATAACAGGACTCCGTGGATGCCAACCAAATAGTAAATAACTCAGAACTGCATGTGTGTTAGGAACACGAAACATTTGTGTTCATTTCTTTTTAGTTGGTCATACTTACGTCTTTATGGTGGGCTGCAGAGTCTGCCCTGAGGAACCCAGTGTCCTGCCGTGGAGTAGCGCCGACGCTCGCGAGCAGCAAGACGATAGTTGCCAGGACACCACAGCACCACTGCAAGCAGTAACGAGGTAAACTGAAAACTGAAGGTACTGACTAGGAATTTCTTTCTCAAATCCTAAAATGCTTGTTTGAATTCCATTAGCATACGTTTGTCGACTTAATTATCGTATAGTTTTTTTAAGAGACTTTTGGAAATGAAATAAGTCTGAAGCTTGTCCAAGAGTTTCACTTGCTTCTCAAAAGCCGTTTCATCGAACAATATCATGGACATTATGAAGTAGATAAAGGCGCCCGACTCCTCATACCTCTCTTCTTCCCGCTTTACAAAATGATCAACTACCTCGTTAAATGTCTACAACATAGGAGCGCTCCGCGCGGCATAAGAGGCCGTGCGGAGGCCTTGAGAGCCGCGGCCTCGGCGTCGTCCGCCCCAATTCCAGGCGGAGCGGAGCGCTCCGAGTAATTGTAGCAAGCAGGAGACTATATGGCAAATACAGAGCGAATGCACCGCACGGGCAAGAGCCAGAAGGCTCGGGGCCCCAGCCGCTGCCGCACTGTGCCGGCGAGACTGTATGCACTCAGCCGATGGATGGCCTGTGTTCGAAAACACACTGAGCGAAGGCATCACCCGGAAAGGGTATCGTAAGGTCTCGGAAAAATTGTATCTGATAAATGTCCTAGGTGCACGCACATGTGTCGTAAAATTTCAAAATTCAACTTGTAAAATCAAGAAGTTTTTGGACAACTTAGTTTTTTTGGACGAGCAAATATTTGAAATCCAAAAACAAAATATTCAAAATTCGTCAATATATATTTACAGGTATTTTCTTAATCAGACCCTTAGCTACTAACAACAAGAGCGTGATGTTTCTAAGTAATTATGCCGCATGTATCCGTACTCAGTATGAACGGATGTTCGTGTGCAAGAGAAGGAAATTACAATCCCGGGACAATCTCTCCCTTTCGAGGATAGAGCAGGGCTTGTATCCTAGCCCTACTTTCTGTGGCGTCGCACGCCCCCGGCGAGTCGCGGGTCGCCATCCGCGTCCTGAGTAGATGTGGGTCAGTCAATTTCTCATACTCCATCCCGACGGCAGGGCAGTCAGTGTTTGTTCAGTCAGTGTCCGCCTGCACCTCCCTCACCTTCCTAGCACCCACCCGCACCTTATTGCAACCGGCCTCCCTCTCCCTCTCTCTCCCTCTCCCACAGGCCAGAGAGTGAGAGTGTGCTGATCGAGACAATGGTGGCTTATTGTTTCAGTAATCGGAGAGAGTTAGCGGCGAGCATTAGCGCCGAGGGCTTCCAGAGTCTGTCCATGTCTCTGCGGTGCAGGGCCTGCGCGGCGGGCTTCCTGGGTAGGCCGTCTTGCTGTCGGCCAGGATCACGCCCGGCACAACCATGTAGACGCACAGGTGTTACTGCCTACTTAAATTACACGGCGCACGAAAGCTGAGTATGAGAAATGACTAACCAGCGTCAAATGTTTTCTCAGACTCGACGGAGGGGTAAGAGAAGGGGAAAAGGAAGAAGGCGCGCTACCCAGCTGTGACAGGAAATCATAAAGCGCACTGGAGGCGTAGCTATGCTAGCCTTGCGCAGACGGGGTGGAGGACGGCCCGCATTTTGGAGCATTTCGCTGGTTCCCGGAAGTCAATCTCGTCGAGATACCGGGCAGTCCAAAACGCGGAGAACCCAACAAACCCCAAAAGAGTGAAGAGTGTCGCGGCCCGCGCCCCGTTGCAGTCTTTTCTGCTTGCTGTTAGTAAACAACTGGCTGGGTTATGAGCCCGAAAATGGCGCCGAAATAAGCACAAAACATGACACAAATTGATACTGCTGATTTTAACTTTGAAAAGGGGGGGGGGGAATCGACCACTCAAACTTCGAACACCTGAAATATTTTTGAAAAATCTAGAGGTGGTCAAGTGGTCCACCCCTCCTCGGGGGTAACAAAACGTTCCCCAATCCTCCCCTCTCTCATCTACTGTAGTGAAGCAGAAGTTTCGTGGAATAGTTCCAGCAAGCCATCATGTGTTCGGCAGAGTTTCCTAAGCGGATTTGCTGTAAGGCCGGTGTCAACCCCGCCGCCCAGTCCACAAGGGGCCGCCTGCAACCACGCGGTCAGGCAACCCAACGTGCTCCCCTCCAGGTCCAGAAGGTCCAGGTCGCACCTCTGCCCTGCCCCGCACGCCTCCCCTCCTCTATCTCTCTCGCGGCTCAAAGCGCGGCACGTGACAAGGCGGACTCATCCCTGTTCCCACGGGTGGCTGCCCCCTGGGCCCCTGCCCCCTGGGCAGCCTGGCCCGCCGTCCTGGCCCCGTGTCGCAACCAGCCCAGCCTGTATGTCCTACGAGACTGGCCGGAGCCCTGACCGCCGCCACGGTCCCAACAGCGTCCTCATTTGTCCTGTCCGCGGGGTCCCCCCAGCAGCGCGTGGACTCAGAGGCGGGGGCGTCAGGGCCGGCGAGGCTGACGGGGTCATCGCGGTGCCCCAGGCGGGACCACCACTTTGCCCCGAAGAGCTCCGGGATGGGCAAATGTCTAGGCATCGTCAGGCGATGTGCGATACGCGGGAACATTAGTTTACGCATTTCACTTCAACGCCATTGTGCGGAGAGTTTGCCGAGATGACGATGAGGATGATGATAGGCGTGCGATTAGCGTCAAGCAGCTGGCTGTGGTCCGCGCCGCATTGTTACGGGGAGGGCCGCCCCGGCCCCGCAACGGCCGCGGCCCACCCCGCCTCATATCGACTCGAAACAATGACAGCGCGGCACAGAATCCGACGGACGGGTGCACTTTGGCGCCGTGCCTCCGGGAACATAATGACGGCCAACCAACGCCCCATCGAAAATGAGGCGAATCAGCGGAATACGTAATTGGTTCGTTGAAAATAACAAGAGCGAAGGGCGGCGGCCTCCGCGGCAGCGTGGAGGCCGGGCGTGGAGGGGAGGGTCTGCCGCCTGGAGGCCGCGCCGCCACCGCCGATCAGCCGTGCCGTATTCATCAAAGGGGGACTATCTACTGGAAATGGATAAAGTCCGCGGTCCGGTAATGGCAATGGGCGTGCCTTACGAGCAGCTGCCGCCCATTATCAGATAGAGACATTGACGGTCACGTGGATTGAGCTGGATTTTGAATCTTGCTCCAATAAACGGGATAACCACACTACCGACATACCGACATGCGATGCGATGAAGCATTGTAGTTGCAACATGAAACCGGGAGGCTACAGAAAGCAGATCTACAGGGTGGTCGTTCTGCCTCGTCGGAGCGCATGAGTGCTAGCCTGCATAGTTACGCGGCCGGGTTTGCCCACCAAATCTTACCACACCAGCTTAGAGAGCCCCATGCGAATAGGCAATCTGGCCTCACTCCTGCATCTTGGCTAGTATACCCACCCGCTCCAACGGGGCAAAAGAGCCACCCTCTGCTTCTGCAATTAAGGAATTGTCAACGAGAATTAGGCACGAAAATGGATCAAGTTTGCGTCACGGGTTCATTGTCACCAGCAGAGCGTGCGCGCGCGCGCGCGTGTGTGTGTGTGGTGGAATGGGTAGGAAGCACACCTTCTCCGCGGCCCGGTCTCACACACGTAAGGTCCCTGGAGCAGAGTCAGCTGTTTCGGGGGCGTTTCCTTCGTGGAGAGTCCCGGGGCTTTCCCTAATATAGAAGAGCGCGCCGCTTGCCTCTGCGACGTAACGTCCCCAAACTGCAGAGGCACAACCCCTTCCGGGGCACATGGAGGTTTAGGCAGAACATGTGCATTCAGATACGTGTGTTATTCATACTGGTACATTTTTCGTGCACTTGCTTTCCTCGAATCCGTTGCGATCGACTTGATTAGAATATCCCCTCAATACGAGCAAAACACTCAAAGGCGAGTACAAAAAATGTACCAAAACCAAAAAAGAAAGAAAAAAAAGAAGGGGATATTTTACGAGGGTGGGATTAGGTGATACGTATGTGTATGTATGTGGGTGAGGTGCCTTTCTTTCCACGGCCCAGGGCGACACTGCCTGGCTTCCCACTGGGCGCGCCCGCCTCGCCCACCAGGGGCCGCTGCAGGGGCGGCAGAGGTCAGTAATTGCAGATGACCACTGGGGGTGGCGCCGGCCGCCGCGCGAGGCAGGCGCCGGGGATTGTGCCTCTCTATGTAAATGCGATGGCCTGCCGGCGGGGCAGCGGGGCAACACGGACAAGGTCAACGCACAAGTGCGAGGGAGAGAGAGTGAGTGTGTGTCGCCGTGCCCTACACCGCTATGACCAGACGTGACAAAGCGACCCCACCCCGAGGGGCCGCGGCGCGCTGAGGTGGGCGTCAACGTCCAGCTCACGCCCCGCCGCGCCACGCCGCCGCTGCACGCCACCCGGCCCGCCGGCCGCATTTGAGAGCGAGGCCGCCGCCGCGGCACGTCTCCTTTTTTGCGCACCGCGCGGTCAAATACTCTGGCGCTGACCGGGCGCCGGACCCGACAGCCACGGGCGTTCTTCATTTAACGGGATACGATTGTCATCCTTTGCCTCTCGCCGCCACGCGCCGTAGAGATAAACGACAGCAGAGGTGACGATATTGTGACAGGACAGGAGCGACGAGACTCCTTGGGGCGCCGGAGCAGCAGGTGGTGGTCCTCCAAGCGCCTGCTATGTCGGGGCCTCGACAGTCTGGCACCTCGCCGTGCGCGAGAACCGTAAAGCAAAAATAACACCTGCTTCATCACCCAGCCCCCTTCATTCTATTCACCCGAAGTTGCCCGAGTTTACATTTTTTTTTATCCCGCCGCTCAGTAGCGCGCGCCGTGAGGGAGCATGAGGGTCATGGCAGCAGCCGGGGCGTGGCGGCCGAGTGGCGGCGTGGCGCAGACTTTGACGCGGACAGGCGCGAGGATTAAAGCGCCAGCAGCACCCGATACGAATCTAACGGGGCGCCACCGACCGCCTGCTGCCCGGTGCTGCGGGGCGCGGCGGGCGGCGGGGCACAGCATCCTGCTCGCGTCATGCGCGGCGCTAGACTGCTTAGCCACCAGCCACCGCCCGCCCGTTCGTACCA